CTTACTTCTAATCCGCTATCATTAATAGATTTGTTTATCTTGACATGAACTAGGTCGGAACCCCCATTGGGAAGTTGCACTACAAGTGGTATTGTAATGATGAAGAAGGGAGCTTGGGAAAAAAAAGCTGCGTGGAAGTCTCTCCAAATAGTTGCTAAACAATCCTTTCATCACTATCTTCTTACCAACCCACTTAACATTTATCATATATGTCAATGGATAAAGACCAAACATGTACAGGGGAGAGTACTGCACAAACTTCTTTCCTCTTATGTTCCTCTGAAAAACCGAACCCAAACATAAACAAAGGAAGGAAGGAAGGAAAGTGTATGTTCACTCCGGTCCTAATTAAGTAGTTATTGATCTGTCTTTCTTCCCAGCTAGGGTTTCCAGAGGATGACGACGACCACACACATAGCTTGTGGCTGAATTTTGATTGCGGGGAAGCTGGCTTTTCTAGAAGGTTGTCCAACGCACAAAGAATCACAGCTTGGCCAACACAATGAGTGCGTCATTACGTGTATAGTATAGTAAAGGGATGATGCATTTCTAGAGAGAGAGAGAGAGAGAGAGAGAGGAAAGTTGCAGTAGTAGTAGGATTGAAATTGAGACGAAGTCAGATGTAGAGAGAGAGAGAGAGAGAGAGAGAGATGACAATAAGGTAGAAGAAGAAAAGACCCAACAACAATGCTTACTAAAGGTTTACGGTCGTGTGGTTTGGTGGCCCTTTTAACCACTCTATATACTCCCTTAGCTTGCTCATCATCGCCACCGGCTTCAAATTCCATTCACTTGATCCCATTCACACACATACTGCCCTTTACCACATTCAATTAAGAGAAACTGAGACAAAGTCATCGTGATTTGGCGAAAACGTCGACAAATTTTGATAAAATGATCAACCGGATGACACACTTATTTTGTTGCAACGAGATTTCACTATTACAAACGAAATGAATGGTCTATTGCTTGCTTGCGGTGTCTTTTTTTCTTCACCAAACTTTAGAATCACAAGATTTTGTTTACATGATTTTAAAATTGATTAACCAATAACGTAGATGGTTATTTATAGATCGTTCTTGTTGATTTTAACTCGGATTAAATGATAGCAAAGTCTTTGTTTAGTACTGAAACATTTATAATGGATGAATCTTGTTCCAACATCGATAAGGCAATGGACAACCGGTTGATTGTTCTATTGGCAATTTGGCATAGTTGATCGTTATTTATTTATTTATTTTTTTTTTTTTTTGCAATGATAGAGTCTCATTGCACCAATGAAACATTTCAAGTGGTGGAACCATGTTTCAACACTGATAAAATATTGACCAACCACTCGCTTTTTCTATTTGTGCGATCCGCCGTCATTTTCTTTTATAATGATGGAGTCTCATTGCAATCAGATAAATATGTCATCCAATCGACAATTTTAAAAAAACAATCAACCCTTTTATCCACTTCACAATACCATAAAAATCACCATAACAAAATACTTTCATTAAAAAACAAACAAACAAAAGAGTCTTATGCATTCATTCTAATAATGAGACTGAGACCCATATGTGTAAAAGGAAGAAAATGGAAAAAATTAAAATGTAGCGTAATAGTGCTACGTCCAGCGATCTTATGAAATAGGGGCCATGCATGTGTATGTAAGTGCAACTATCAATATCAGCTCTCCGCTTTTTCTACAAATCTGAATAAAGCTTGCAATTAACTACCTAGCTAACTAGTTAAATTGTGTAGCAAAACTTCTCTTATATATCCCTAACTTTCCTCCTCACAACCAGGCCTAGGATTGATATTCAGTTTTCCGCTTAACGGTTTCATCGATAAAGTATCCAATAATCTAACGATTTAATAGGTAACCTAATCGGTTATTGATTGAAAGCCAAACCACTTCGACTAGCAGACCTAGCCAGACCGGGCCGCTTATCACCTACTAGCTATACACGGATTCACTCTAATTCATAGTACGAAAAAATCATATCGTACTAGCGGTTCGATGAGAAAAACCTCCTACCAAAAGCAAAATCAGTTAACGGTATCTAGCAGTATGGAACGGTTGAATTACAATTTCAACGTTAAATACCCTACCGTCGATTTTTTCGATACGATCCCTCAAACGGTATTTCAATCCTTCATTCTAATTTCTACCACCGGTTGTCTTTTGATTCTTCCAATCTCCCTGTGTCAAGGTCGTCTACATATTCTTGTTTACCAGTTCCAAGAACGAGGCAGAGTCTGCGTTTCATGTAAGTAGCGTCAGCATATCTAGAGAGTTTCTTTCATGCATTTCACTCATTGGCGGAGCTAGGTGAGAAGTTGTGGGGTCCATGGACCCCACTTGAAAAATTAATATACATTAAAAATGGTGGATTTTTAAGGTGGGGTTAGTAAATTTAGAACTACGGCCCAGCAGCCTTTAATAATGATAACCAAAAAGAAAAACCATTAAAGATAAGCAACTAATTAATCAATTAACTATATCTCAAAAGCTAAGATAAGTTGTTCCAACGAAAGAACCTTTGGATTAGTTTATCAAGTACCAATTGACTTCTCATTAAGGACAACACAGCATTGAGGTTCAGGGAATCTAACATTATTGAAATTCTTTAAAATAGCCTGCTTTAATTTAAAAGAGTACGTACAATTAAAGTCTCTGGATTAAAAAAAAGTGGTATGTACACCTATGGACCATTTCCACTCGTTATATAATCCTTGGCGCTTCAAACTTGGTTGAACGCATAAACTCTAATTAATCACATGTCAGTTTCTTATTACTGAGTTCATCTTTCTTTTTTATTTTTTAATTCTTGATTCATTTAGCATAATTAAGAACATCAAATATTAAGAAAAAAAGAAGGTAAGTCCACCAATAAAAAACTAACATGTGGATTGTACGAGCTTTTGCGTAGGGGCGGAGGGGGTCAGAGGGAGGGTGGGCCCCGAGGACTACCCTAACTCGGGAGTAAAAAAGCTAAATTAGATATAATAGTTAATCGAGTATGAAAAATAACACGTATTTATATGGGAAGGGTTGACCTTTCAAATGATATGATTTATAAGTTGTATATTGGCATATTCAATATTTTTATAACAAGCTATGTACAAAGGATAATAGTGCATATGAGTCCGCCCAAAATTAAAGATGTACTTATTCAATATCTACAACAAATTTTCACCAAATCATAGCTAATTCATAAACATAATTTTATTTCAACCAGAGGTTAGGAGAGCGTAACAGGTGGCTCATAATGACGAAAAATGAGTAAAGTAGTATAATAGTTAATTGAGAATAAAATTTAGAGCACTTGTAATTGAGAATGGTTGACCGAGCGAGTGATCATGTGTTCAAATCTTGGCAAACTCATTTGTTAAGCACGTGATATTCGGATTTGCGAAAACTTTAAGCATGTATAAGTTGGTTTTGGTTAGCGGGGAAGTATTAGTAAATACTAAATAGTATAAGATTCATTATTAAATTTTTCCCAACAAATCGAGTTATTGATATTAAACGATCTTGACAAAGAACACAATTCAAAAGATAATTTCTAACTAAATCTTGAATAATTGTTTTTTTTTCAGAAATTTTTTTGAATAATTGTTTGATACATATATAAAGTGATATTCTTGATAGTCTCGACATATATTTATTTACCAAATTTTTGTAAATACAAAATTATATCATAAATGATTTAAAGTTAAAAAATTATTTTATCATATTTTTTTCTAAATGGACCCATCCTCTACAAAATTTCTGACCACACCACTACTTCTACGTCCAAACAAGATTGAAGCTAATAATTTTCTGGAGCTACCCTCGTTTTATTTTGTTGGCGAAAAGAATAGCAGGGAAGTGGGATTTCCTTGGGAATTTCTGTTGGCGCCCGGAGTTTAATTAGCAACTTTTCTGAACTCTTTTTTATGATTAAATTCAGCAGCCTGTATAAATTAAGCTGTAAAATAAGGAGGAAACAGTGTGGAATTGTTTCCGAGAATTAATTAATTAGAAGAGTATAGATTTGATGCCCCAAACACGGAAACCAAAGGCGAGGACGCCGATGACCAAATCGAGAATTGGTAAAATAAGGAAAAACCTGATTAACTTTTTTTTTTTATAGAAAAAACCTGATTAACTTAACATCCCATAGCTGCTAATTATGGTACTGTTCATATCTTAATCTATATATTTACAAGATAATTAAGGAAAAGATTAATGCAATACTGGTTACTGACTGGAGTTGGGGGTGGGTAGAAATGGGTGAAGGTGGTTGGACACGAGGTTAGAATATTAACACCCAACCAAATCTAAAAGCAAACCGCATTGGTGTAAAGATGCACTCAACCCCTTTTGGGCAAGAAATACAAATTTCTCCATCCCTTTCCAAAATCATTTAGGCGTAATTCACGAATAATTTGAAATGAGATTATTATCATACTGTATATATGTTAGGTAAAACATTAGCGAAATTGTATGCAGTAGTAGCCCGGCCTGTTTGGAGATAGAACTCAATCATTGAAAATTATTATAAAATTTTGCAACAAAATTCTGCATTGCAATTATTTTTCATCCACCCACTGTCGTTTTCGGTTTACGTGTGTAGCTACTAGCTCTCCTTCAAATCCGAGCCACCAAGAGGAACAAAAGTCTTGAGAGTGGCATTCTTGGTAAATAAGTGTTGGTGTCTGTAGCTAATTTCGTAGCACCAATCTTTGTCAACGTGTTAGCTGTAATTATCAGGATTAAAAGCCCAAACCAAAAACCGACAAATCGGCAAAATAATAAGGGGCAAATGATTGTAATAGATTAAACAGAGACACCTCTCTTCTCTTCTCTTTCCTTTCTTCCCTGATCTGTCTCTGCTTGCTGCTTAGCTCCCACACATGTGCATCATTATAAGAGAGCAGTAGCTGCTTGCTAGGGTTTGGCTCTCCTCCCTCAGTATCATCGCCCGTACGTAGGTGCAGTAATTGTTTGTTTCCTTTTTGCATCATCAATGGAGGAAAGCCTTCCTCCAGGTTTCAGATTCCATCCAACTGATGATGAGCTCGTCTCCTTCTATCTCACTCACAAGATCGCGGACACGAGCTTCACTTGCAAAGCCATGGTTGATGTTGATCTCAACAAGAACGAACCTTGGGATCTTCCAGGTATGTTTGCTTTGCTTTGCTTCTTATTACTCATTCTAATTCCCTGCCTTTGATGGTACTCGATGGAGCAATCATAATCTTTGAGTAACTTCCAATTTTTTATTTTGTTTTTGTTCGTGCTATCAAATATTTCAAGCTCTTGTGATCAATATAGGCTTGAAACAAAAACGAACAGTTCATCCCATTTTTTCACGTATCTCGATTCCTCCATTAATTAATTCAGCTTGTTCCTCATCCTGGGTTTTGTTCTTCTCTCATTATCTAATTTGTGCTCACTAATATGGCTAACTTTCTTTCCCATTTTCTTTCAAGAAAGAAAAAACAAAGACACTGTATATATAACTAGGCACTTGGAATATCATCAAGGTGAAATCAAGAGGAAATCAACACTCTTCTTAAGACAAAAAAAAAAAAAAAAGAGTGGTTCTGGAGGAAGTCCTTTTTTTCTGGGTCATTTTTTACTTTTTTTTTTTTTAGCTTTTTGGAGTCCATATCACCAATTCCTTTTTTTATCGGTGGTAATTCAGTTGCGTATAGAGTACCGCATTTGATTGTAATTGATCTTATATTTGTTCTCTGTACTATGCCGTTTGCGAAAAAGAACAATCTTCTTTAGACCATGCATAATATCCTACTTTTGAGTTCACCAAAATCATTAATTTTCAAACTCTTTTTACAAGATGGTATCAACCTCGGTTTTGTCGACTTCCTAGTTCCCTGAATTAAAAATCGATTTAACTACGTACATATTAATTAATTAATTATACAAAAGAAGGGAGAGGTTGCAACATCTTAGCTTGTTTAATATCTGTAAACAAACAAACACACACACATTAGCCAGACTCTTTTTCATAAAGCTAGCTAGCTAGGTTAGGTAGCACAAAAAGGGAACCAAAAGCTAACCATGTTGACATGTGCTTATTGGCCAGCCAAGCCAAATGCTACCTATCCACGTCACTGTTCTGTAATTAGACGACCTATATATCTCTTCATTATTGTTGTAGTTTGTGTTGTTGAAGCTGAAGCTGAAGCAAAGCTTATGAATCACTGAACTCAGTTAATACGACAAACCCGGCCTGAAAAGATAAACTCAGACTGATTAACCCTTTTCTGGCGCCCTTAATTAATTAATTTGTTTGCTTATCATTGTACGTACGTTACTGATATCTGTGATTTGGCGTTGCTGAATGTTGTTGCACATGCACATGCACATGCACAGGGAAAGCGTCGATGGGAGAGAAGGAGTGGTACTTCTTCAGCTTAAGAGATCGGAAGTACCCGACCGGGCTGCGAACCAACCGAGCAACGGAGGCTGGGTACTGGAAGACGACGGGGAAGGACAAGGAGATCTTCTCTGCCTCTGCAACTGCAACTGCAACGTCCGGGATGAAGAAAACCCTCGTTTTCTACAAAGGCAGAGCTCCAAGAGGGGAGAAGACCAACTGGGTTATGCATGAATATCGCCTCCATAACAGACATAGATACAAATCCGCCAAGGTACGTACGTGTGCGTGCAGCTAATCATTTTTTCTTTTTCAAATTTAATTCAGTCTGAGTCTCCCAAGGGTTAAGTTAATGTGATCAGTTGAATTATTTAGGATATTCTTTATGACGGCCGTTTTTATAATTAAAGAAAACTATCAAAAAATAAAGAGAAAAAATAAAGAAAATGAAAGTCCCTTTAATATTGTGCCATGTCGTGGGTGCATGCAGGAAGAATGGGTGGTTTGTAGGGTTTTCGAGAAGAGCTCATCATCATCAGCCAAAAAACCACAACAGGCATCATCATCCCAACACGACTCCTTGGCCTCTCCCTCTCCCTCTCCCTGCCACGACACAAACATCGAGTTCGGAGACATGGATTTCTCCCATCTAAACGGAAACAACGCCGCCTTCTCCTCATCTAGCGGCGGCTACAACGACGCCGCTTCACCTAACTACAACCACAACGCCATCAATATTCACCATCTTCTTCATCATCGTGATCGTGACCACGACCACAACAACAACCACAGCAATAATAATAATAATAATAATAATGCTCTCCTACACATGAGCGCCATGAATCAAGCTCCCTCGTTGCTCAGTTCACTCCTCCCCTGGCCCGCTAACTCTGCTTCCAACTTGCTCGGCGGCGCCTCCAACCTCGCCATGAATTCATTGCTTCTCAAGGCATTTCAGCTCAGGAGTTACCAACAAAGAGAAGCCGCCGCCGCCGCCGCTGCCGATTATCACCATCACCATCAACAACAGCAACAGCACCTTGGCGTTGGAGTTGGAGTGGATCAGCATGATCAATATCTCCAAGGATCTCCATCTGCTTCTTCTAGGGTTTTAGAAACGGCGCCACAACAACAGCAAGTTATGCCACCACAGCCGGACGAGGAGCAACCATTCAATAATATGGACTCCGCCATTAACTGGTGATGATCAGCAACTTGTTAAGTACAGAAGAGTACAGAATCTATAGCTGTAAAGTTTATCCAAAGGACACAATTACTAACCCACAATGTACTTTACGTGATCATGCATGGTCTCTAGTCTAAAGAAGGAAAATGTAAGTTCATAATTATATTAGGGATTACATATGGATCAGGATACGATGTGTAGTTGAGTTTATTCATGATGTTGAAACAACTGTGCAAAAACATGTATTTCTTTGTTTCTACATTGTCACAATAATATTGTTATATGTAATTTTGAATACTTACGTTGTTAATTAAATGGATCGTTGAATTTCGGTGCAGTGATTCATATCAGTGATACCGTACTTTAAAGTATTGATGCGGTACCTTTAATGGTACATATACTCTTTTAAATCACTTTATGATACAATATAAATGTAAAAATTTAGTTGTAACTGTTGAGTTATGGACTTCAGCCCATGTACGTATGCCAAGCCCATACGTAGCATGCATAGCTCGGCCGTAGCTAGGGTTATGGTGTACCGAATATAAATATGTATATGCATGTACTTGTTGAGCATATGAATATACGAGACTCTGTTTCCTGCCGTGGACTAATCTTGCTCTCACTGAGCAAGGAAACCACGTTAAATCCTGTGTCGTATTCAGTTTCGATCTTATTCTCAGTTTCGCATCTCCGTATCGATTATCATGGTATCAGAGCTTTCTCAAATGGATTCTGATCGTATCTCAGCGCGTTTGAACTCGAAAAATTACGCGCTTTGGGAGTTCCAGTTCCGGATTTACATCGAGGGGAAGGGTCTCTTCTCCATGCTCGATGGTTCGTCACCGCGCCCTGTTGTTCCGCCTGCTACTGCTGCGGCTTTGTCGACCTGGCTGCAAAACGACGCCCGCGTCAAGACAGCCCTCCTCAATTCTGTCGAGGCATCGATTGTTCTGGGGCTACGCGCTTTGCCCACCGCCGCCGCCATGTGGGCAAACCTGGCCGAAACCTATGGCACGACAAGTGTTGCGCGGCAGTTTGATATTGAAATTGAACTTTCCCAGCTTCAGCAAGGAGATCGAGATGTTGTTTCGTATTACAACACGACGCGGCAACTATGGACTGAGCAGGATTTGATTTCTGCTGCACTGATTCTGTCTGGGATTACTGCGGAGGTTAAGGCTGAGAAAGAAAGACTTCGGCTGCTTCAATTTTTGGCGCGCCTCCGTCCCGAGTTTGAGAACCTGCGAGCTACTTTAATTCACCGAGAGCACTTAAAGGTGGAGGGGGTTCTCGGTGCTCTTCTGCAGGAGGAGACTAGGCTGCGTACTCAATCCCTTCTCGACGTCAAGCCGGGCCAAGGTGATGCGGCGATTTTTTATGTTGGAGGGAGCCGCACCGCCAAACCCAGCCTGCCTGCTGCTGGTCGTGACCAGCGATCTTCTCCCGCTCGTGCTGCCCCTGCTGCGTCCGACGCCGATGCCGAGGAATCAGCCTATGCTGCCTTTCGTCCTCCCCCGCGGCGCTCCGACGTGGAGTGTCATCACTGCCACGCCAAGGGCCATGCTCAGAAGTACTGCCGCAAGCGCAATTGGTGTGTGTACTGCAAACGTGCTGGACATATTATTCCCGACAGTCCATCTTTGCAGGCTCGTATGAAGGAGGCGGGTGCCTCTTCCGGTGGGTCGTCCTCTGCTCGTCCTGCTTTTGCTACCCAGCCAGCTAGCTCTGGGGATGGTGTTGTTGTGACCTCTGATGCTTTGGAACAACTTGTTAGCAAAACAATTGCCTCCGCCTTCGCCAGCCTTCAAGTCTCGGGTAAAGTTCCCTCCTGGATCCTTGACTCCGCCTGTTTTAATCACATGACTGGTCAATTGTCTGCTTTAAACGATGTTCGTCCGGTTGAGAATCTCGCTCTGCAGGTTGCCGGCGAGAACAAGTTAAAAGTAGAGGGAGTTGGTTCTGTTTCCCAGCCTTTGTTGTCTCTCCCGTCTACTTTACATGTTCCTCACTTAGTTCCTAATTTGGTTTCCGTTGGTCAGCTCACTGAACAAAACTGTCGGGTGGTTTTTGCACCTTCTGGTTGTTCTGTGCAGGATCTGACGACCGGGAGGGAGATCGGTTGGGGTAGCAAGCATGGCTGCATTTTTCATCTGGAGGAACTTGACGCGCGGCCTCCAGTCACATCATCATTATCATTTTCGGTGTCTAGGGTATCTCCTTCTTCGATGTCTAGGGTTTCTGGTCTGCCTGTTTTTTTAGTACCCGTGATAAACTTTTTCATTTGTGGCATTCTCGTTTGGGTCACCCTAATTCTAGTCGGCTATTGACAATGTTTAAACAGAAATTATTTGGTGATAAGGTGATTGGTGATTCATCAGATTTTTCGTGTACTTGCTGTGTTGAGGCCAAAGCCACTCGAATTTCATTTCCACCTAGTCAAACGACCATTCTTGAGCCTTTTCACATCATTCACACTGATCTGTGGGGACCCAGTCCTGTAACTTCTCGCCATGGTTACAAATACTTTGCTCTTTTTGTTGATCATGCCACTAGATTTACTTGGGTCTACTTCCTCCGCCTCAAATCGGACCTTCTTACTGTTGCCACTGATTTTATCACTATTATTCGTACCCAGTTTTCCAAACCTATTCGTGTCATTCGTGCTGATGAAGGTGGTGAATTCAGTTCTCATCCCCTTCTACAACTTTATAGATCGCATGGTATTCTTCCTCAAAAAGCGTGTCCTGGCACTTCCCAGCAAAATGGTCTGGTTGAACGCAAAAACAGACATGTTATGGAGATTACTCGTGCCCTCATGTTAGCTTCGCATGTTCCTTCATCCTTCTGGCCTGAAACCGTATCCACAGTTGTTCGTCTCATCAACTATCAAATCACCCCAGTTCTTGAACAGTCCAGTCCCTACTTCCGCCTCTATGACAAACATCCACCCTATTCTCGTCTTCGAGTTTTTGGTTGCACCTGTTTTGTCTTGCGTCCTCGGTCTGAACGCACCAAACTTATGTCTAAAACTGCTCGGTGTGTCTTTCTTGGTTATAGTGACATTGATAACGATGTAATTGCATGATTTTTCACCCCTATTTCTTATCCATTTGCGGAGCATGGTTGTGTGTTTTGGCCTATTTTACGCCGGGTTGTGCTACTTTGTCCTATTTCAGGTCCCAGGCGTCAAAAGGAAGGCCAAGCGCGAGTTTCGGATCGTTTGGAAGTCGTTTGGACAAGTCATGGCCAAAACACGGGCAGGAGGCCCTCAGAACACGGCCGTGTTCCTGACCGTGTTTTTATAGCCGAGACTGCCCAAGGGTGGCTTGAAATACCTAAAAAACACGTGCAGGCCTGAGACAGAACACGGCCGTGTTTTGCACAGAACACGCCCGTGTTTTCATGATGCCCGTGGCCGTGTTTTTAAGCCTAATCCAAAACACGGGCGGGCTGGGCCAGAACACGGCCGTGCCCTCGACCGTGTTCTGGCCAGTGATGCCCTTTTAGGCAGATTTCAGCCAAATTGAGAGGGGATTCGAGTTTGAGAGAGACAGAGCAATTCCTAGAGAGAGAAAGCGACGAACAAGAGTCTCCAAGTGCCCTAGCTTGATCTTCATCACCATTGGAGCTTGGCTTGAGCTTGGAGAAGTGCCGATTCAACGTCCAGGAGCAGAAATCCATCTTCACAGTATGATTTCCGCGTCTGATTCTGCTTTTGCTTCTTTCTCCATGGAGTAGTTCTCCCATTCATCTGGGTGTGGGAAACCCTAGTTCTGTATGTTGGGATTGATTGTATGAACCCAAGTACTGTTTCTATGAATTGATTATATTCGATTGAGGTTTGAATGATTGAATGGCATGAATCATGATCAAATTCCTGTTGTTTCTGCTTTAACCTAGAATGATAATATCTGCCTAGGTTAATAGAGTATCCTTAATTGAAGGTAGTGAATTGGTGACTTTAGTCGAGGAGCCAATTCACTATTCTGTACCGAATTCAATTCGGTAGTGGAGGTTTTGTTCATAGGGCCTCAATCTGTTTACTCCGGTGGAGGTTAGTCGCCCGCTAGAGACTCAGATTGAGAGGGTCTGAAGACCTTTAGTCGAGACTTCAGACTGCTTGAGAACCTTCCGCAGTATAACTATCATAGAAATTGAACTTGGTAATTACAATCCGGCTTAACTGCAGACTAGGGGGAACCATATCCGGGTGACCTCTCTTAACCTGAAAACAACCGTTTAGTTGCTTTGCTTGCTTGTTAGTTTAGATCTGCACTAAAGTTTCATTGCTAGATAATACGAATTCACTGAGTAGGCATCACATCTAGGACCCGGGTTGACATTAAAACCCAAACCCGCTATACTACGCTTTAGGAAGTGGTTACACTTGGCCATTTTCTAGAGTGACAGTAGGAGTGAGTCAAGTTTTTGGCGCCGTTGCCGGGGACGGCTAGGTTGTTGAAGAAAAGTGATTTCTGTTACTTTAGCATTTTCATTTTCGCATTGAGTTTTTGTTTTTTCCCACTTGTGCCTTCACGGGTTTGCATTGCTTGATTGTGTGCAGATAGTGCATGACCCGTAGCCAGTCGGGAGGTTTACTGCCGTTGAATCCTGAGATTGAGCGCACCTGCAAACAACTTCGGAAACAACAGCGAGCTAGACTGGCTACGGTGGAGCGCAGAGACGGCCAATTGAGCAGTGACTCCGAGGACGAGTACGAGATGGAAGGCGATCAGAACCCACCTCCTGGGAACCAGTTCCTGGGGAACGACCCCAATCCCCAGGCAGCTGGGGTCCATCATCATCCACCACCACCGGGTCCCACCTTGGAGTACTACTACACTCCACGGATTGCTGACATCCGCCCGGTCATCCTCTATCCGCCCATTCCAGCAAACAACTTCGAGATCAAGCCATGCTGGATTCAACTCATTACATCCTCTATCCAGTTCCATGGCTTGAAGGATGAGGAGGCCCGGGCACACCTTTCCCGTTTTCTGCAGCTGACGAACGGG